GGGAAAGGGAAGTGCCACCATATGAAAAGCTGGGAGGCTGGCCCTGGGCCTGGTTGCCAGGCAACATTCCCACTCACAAAGCACCAGAGAGCCAGGAGCCCTCACTGATCCATTAGGCTGAACCACAGCAAACCACTTCAACACACTCAAGAATAAATCCCCCAAAGCCTAAGTGACCTCACTCAGAAAGGACTTTCATTAAAGTTGCTTTTCCTGAAGCAGCAGGGAGCAGGGCAAAAACTAATAGTGCTCAAGGCCTCGAAAGCAAGTAAAGCTCCTCGGGCACCAAGGAAACCCACGAGAGTTGAACTCAGTGATCCAGGGGCCCTGTGGCTCTGCCTTGCCCATGCTGAAGGCCAGCTTGGCATACGAGCCACCAAGACCACCATGCTCAAACCCGCCCCCCAGTCAATGCTGCATGCAGTTCCCAGGTTCCACCCAGAGGAAGATGAATATGTGGCCCTAAACGAGGCTGAAATGGTGAAGCCATGTGCAAAGAAGCCAAGAGGAAATTGGAAGAAACTGGACTCTGTGAAATCCTCTTTGGCCATCGAGAGGTCTACAGCACTTCTGCCAGCTTGGGATCATAAAAATCAATCGGACATTCCCTGGTTGCTTCTTAAAAAGATTGTTTCTTGTATTTAAAAATGCACTAAAAGCATCTGAGGGCCGTAGCCAGACTCATCCACTGCCCCTCTGGCCAGGAGAGGGACCTGGTCCCCAGTTTCCACCTGGGCCAGGCAACTTTGGGCTCCCTCCCAGAAGAGCCTCTCTAAGGCCTGACTTTGGCCCCCCTCCTGTGTTCAAGATCTCCAAACTAGCCCAGGCCATCCTCACTTCTATCCCAGGTTCCTGGACCAGGCATTAGTCCTTCCAGGACCAACAGTGCTTGTCACGTGAGCCACTGCCATTCCAAGCCAGGCTCCAGTCTTTTCCCTGCCTCTAGCCTCTCCCCTCCAAACCCATCCAACACAGAACTCCCAAGTGACCCTGCCAAAAATGCCAATTTCACATGTCACTCCCCTGGTCCAGGTTCTTTCTGCCATTCAAGCCACTGCTGCCTGGTTCTCTCTCCCACACCTTGACTCCCCGCTCCTATGGAAACCAGTGTCCACCATGACCTGTTCCTTCCCAGATCAAACGCAACCTTCTCCATGCCAACATCCCAGCACTCAGACAACAGAGGTGTGCCCAACACTGGGATTGGTGCCTGAGCCTTCTGCACCCCCAGTTCCTTGGAGACACCTATCAGTGTCTGAGGAATGGTATCCTAGTGAGTATGTGTCTGTGTGCCCACTTGTCACCTCAGACCCTAGAGCACATCTCAAGTATGTGCAGCACCATACTGTGACCTGGGGCTAGTGGCTGGACACATGGTGCAGCTGTGTGTGTGTTTGTGTGTGCCTGGCACCGTGCAAGGGAAGCCAAGTCTGCCCAGGTCCCTGCGTGGCACACATACAGGATCCTATACAGCCTACAAAGACCTGGCTCACACATCCTGTCTCCTTTTAAAGAAAATCTCCAGGTCCCAGGGCAAAACATGCCCATCTTTACCCTGGACACCCATAGCCTCTTGAGCACACCCCTGCCAGAGCCCTCAGCCTGTTGGCTTTGTCCTGGCCTGCTGTCCTGTCTGGCTCTCCAGATCACTGGGAGCCGCTGGTAGGAAGGCACTGGGATTGTTACCTGAGCCTTCTGCACCCCCAGTTCCTTGGGGATACCCATCAGTGTCTGAGAAATGGTACCATGACCCAAAGGATTGGGAAATGGGGTCTTGGCCTTGGCTTGCCACTCCTCAGTAGTAAGACCCCAGATAGTTCTCGACTCCACCCTGAACCTCAGCTTCTCAGTATGAAAATGAAAGGTCTGAAATACATCATTTCCCAGATCCCTGCCAGCTCTGTAAGTAGTAGTTACAGCCAGAAAAACGCTCAGAAGCCAAGCTCAGCTACAGCACAGCTGTGAAGAAACAAGCTGAAGTGCTCTCCAGGACATTTTCTCCCCAGATCCCAGCACGACTTCACTTCTTATCTAAGCAGCTGCTCTCATAGTGACTAGAGACGGTGGGCACTTTCTCACATAAAGAAGAAACCCCATCTTCCCTTGTGGGTTGAGTGGTGTCTGTGTACCCAAGAGAGGGGGAGGAAGAAAGCAGGTTGTTACCGTGTGCACATCCACTCCAAGATTTCCAAGCGGTACTTCGAGGGGCTACACAGCAGTTCCTGAATGGTCTTTGGTTCTGTGATATAAAGACCGTCAAGGAAGGGGCAATTGAGGTCCTAAACAAGAAAGGGAAAGCCAGGAAGTTTTAGAAAGGCAACATCAGTGAAAGGTTGAAACACACAGCAGTAATCATGCTCTCAGTGCATCTCCATTCACGCACGTTCCCGGCCGCAGAGCAGCCACCAGGCAGGTGACACAGACCCCCAGCCCCGGACCACGGGTAGCGGTCTTGATCACGCCCAGAGTTCAGTCTCCTTCATCTGCAGCTCCAGGTGCCCACCACTTTGCGTCTTTTTTGGAGGCCCCCTCGAGGCAGAAGCGGTAGTTTGACTTGGTAGCAACTAGGAGTTATGGTGAGAGTCGGATATTGGCCGTAGAGCAAAGGGAACCTGGAGAGGGCCCACGGGGCCAATCACGGGTCAGGGGGAGGGGGCGAGGGGAGAGGTGTCGAGGAGGGGAAAGGAGAGGGAATGAGGGGAGAGCTGGTCGCAGCCCAGGGACCACCGCCTGACCTCGCGGGGAAGCGTCTTCACCACCGCTGTCACCGGCATTGGCTGAAGAAAACTCAAAGCGGGAGGCATGCACTCCGCCCATCTGTCTCCCCCAGACCCTGCGACCTCCTCCTAGAAGCCAGGATCTGTGGCCCCATACTCCCGCCACCCGCCCCTGCACTCCTTCCGCACGCCAGGCCTTAAAGCATCCGCGGGACAAAAGTTCAGGCGCCTGAACTCCCAGGCACAGGCCACGGAGACAGCAAAGTGAAAGCCTAGGGCCACCCAGGGAGCGGAGACGGACAGCCTACGAGCCTCCCCCCAGCAGCGGCGATCCGGGCCTTGCGAGCCGCCGCCGACTTCTGCAGCCCCGCCGCCCAGACCCCTCCGCCCAGGGGCAGCTCCCGGGGCCTCACAGCACCTTCAGCTTCGCGAAGACCTCTACGGCCGCCTGGAACGAGCTGTCGTCACTCCCAACCTCGTAGCCGCCGCCGCCGCCGCCAGGCCCCAACTCGGCCATGTTTCCCGCTCGAGGCCGCGCCCTGCCCACGCCCCCAGCTGACTGGCCAGCCCAGCTACCAATCAATCGCGAGCCTAGTGTCCCTCCCGCCTACCCGCCTGCGCCGTAGCCGGGGCATTGCGCAGAGACGCATCCCGCCCCCTCCTCCACTGGGCCTTCCCATTGGGCAGTGGCTCCGCCCAGGAGGCTGACCTTGAGGAAAGGGGGAGGAGCCGGGGCTGGCACTTGGTCCAAGGCTCACGCACTAAGCTCCAGCCCGCCGGCCCGGGGTGGAGGACGCGGCGGGAAGAACATCCTCCAGGAGAGGGCGCTCCTGCCCTCTTCCCGCGGTTTCTCCGCGGGAAGATGAAGGGGGAACCTGGGTGACGGGACAGAACTGGGACTTCAGCGTCCCACGTCCCAGCGCCGGTCTCTGTCTCCGTTTACCCACACTCACAGCGTAGTTAGAAAGAGGTTTCGTGGATTTGAATCTGGCTAAAGCTGTGTGTCTTTGGACAGGCTACCTAACCTCTTTGTGCTTCCTTGCACGCACCTAATGTGGATACTGAGAGCACTTACTTCACTGGGTTGCTATGAGGGCGGAATGAGGTAAAAATTTATATAAAATACCCAGGGCAATACCTGGCATGTGAAAAGCACTATGTACATGTTTACTAGTATTATGCTCCTTTCACCTACCCCTCCTCCAGTCTGTCTTTGACCTTCTGGAAGGTTCTGTGTCTCCTTCCTGCCCTGGCCACTTAGAAATGTCTTTGCGCCTCTCAGGCCCCTCAAACTCAATGAGTCTGAAATGACATTTGTCAGCCTGTCCTCTGCCACACCTCCAAAACCCCCAGCTCAGTGAACGCCCGCATCAGGGGCCTGCTGATCAGATGAGGTAGGAAGGAGCTGGAGGGTGGCTGATGCTCAGAGAGTGGGAAACCAGCAGCAAAGGGCTGCTGCCAGCTCTCCTTGATTGTCTCCAGAGTCTGTCCCTGCTCAGTGCCCCATCCTGCCATCTCCTGGAGGGTGGCATCAGAGGGCAGGGCTAGAGGGCAGGAGACCTGGAAGAAGTCAACTTCAGTCCTTTGAGTGACAGGAGAGGGCTCAGCCATGTTCTGGAAGGAAGGGATGGGCAGGAGTCTGGGCTAAGAGGAAGGGACACCAGCCTGGCCTTGTGGAGCAAGGCCTGATTCCCTAGTGAATGGTTTGGAATTCCAAGCTATTCTGAGAACACGGAGCCTCTAAACTTGAGCTGAAGGATGCCCCAGCCTGGACTTGGGGACCCAGAGATTTGCAAAAGCACTGTAAGATCCCTTCCCCCTCCAATGTGGCTGCTACCTTGGGCACTTCTTACCGCTGAAGGCTGTAGGGGGCTTTGGGTTTTTTTTTTTTAATCTTTGTCCCCCCTCTTTTTCTGTTTTTGTTTTTCTTTCTTTTTAAAAAATTTCATTTCCATCACAGCCCTAGCTCAGACGTTCAAATTCTTGTGGGTATTTCTGTGGATCTTTCCTAGGACTAGGGAATTTGGCCGGAGAAACTATGGCAGTGTGGTGGCCTCCCCACCCTCCCCATATCCTCTGCTCCTGAAGATCAAGAAGAAACCAGCCTCTGTGTATTCTGGAAGAAAATTCCCCTTCTCCACCCAGCTCTATGGAGCCAGTAGTCTAAACAGCCCTTCCCCGATTCAACAGCTCTGTCTATGGCACAGGATGGGATGTGGTGGGATTGTCAGGGCCTTGATGGGAGAAGACCATCTCAAAGGGTCATTCAGGTCCATCCCCTGCATGGAGAGCCCACTGGCCAGCCCTCAGCTCATAGAGATGGCAGCAGCAGGCCTCAGCTTCCCCTCCCACACCACCCCTGAATCATGGTGCCTCCCAAGCCTCGTCCACAGGAAAGACTGGAGACTGGGATGGGAACAGAGACTACTGGGCCTCTCTGGGTGGGGTATAAAGGACTGCAGAGTGGTAGACGCCTCTGGAAATGTGGACTCAAATTCAATACAAGGAAGTGCTTCTCTCAGAGGGCACTGTCAAAAACACTAGCTTGGCTCCCTGGGAAAAGGGAGGGAGCTCTCTGTCTTGGGAGGTATGCAAGCTCAGGGAGGCAGGGAGGATGTGGACAACTGTGTTAGGGGGCATGCCTGCCCAGAGCTCATGGCTTCTGTGCAAGAGGCCTGGGCAGGTCAAGACCTGAAGGATAATGTCCGCCTGAGAGGGGATGGGGCTGGGCGTGGGGGGCACAGATGTGAGCAGAGACCGCAGGGCCCTGCACAGACCTGAGCACTGAACCAAACTCCTGATCATGGGGGAAACTTGGCCATGTGTCAGTGCTTGGAAAAGAGGCTGGAAAATGAGACCAGTTGACAGGTACTGGCCTCACTGTGTCAGGGATGGCTGGCAGCGAGCGGTGGTGGCTGAGGCAGCCAGCCACGTGATGCACCTGGCCTTGTGCCTTGGGCACGAAATGTATAGTCAACCAGATGGCTTCACCCCATGGCCTCCCTGCCCTGGAGCAGTGGGCTGCTGGCAGGAGCTATACAGGGCATCAGGTGAAAGGAAGGGCTCCAAGAGCATCTTGGCCCCAAAGTTGCAGCTGCCATTAGCAGCAGACCCCAGGGTGCTGGGGGAATCTGAACCAGGTCCCCGCCCCCAACAGCCAGTCAAAGAAAGCAGAAGTTCAAGGTTTACCTCTCCAGTAAGGAAGAGACTTCCCTGTAGCTCAAATGGTAAAGAATCTGCCTGTGAGGGTTCAGTTCCTAGGTTGGGAAGTTCCTCTGGAGAGTGAGTGAGTGAAGTCGCTCAGTCGTGTCCAACTCTTTGTGAACCCATGAACTGTATCCAACCAGGCTCCTCCGTCCATGGGATTTTCCAGGCAAGAGTAATGGAGTGGGTTGCCATTTCCTTCCCCAGGGGATCTTCCCGACCCAGGGATTGAACCCGGGTCTCCCACATTGTAGGCAGACACTTTACCAACTGAGGCACCAGGGAAATCTCCTCTGGAGAAGGTAATGGCAATCCACTCCAGTATCCTTGCCTGGAGAATTCCATGGACAGAGAAGCCTGGCGGGCTACAGTCCATGGGGTCACAAAGAGTTGTCGCAAAGACTTGGACACAGACTAACGCACACACACAAGGAAGAGAAGGAAGATTTGCTTCAGCTGCCTCTGAGACAGGCTGAAGGCCTTGTTCCACGAAAGGGGAGCTTTTGAAGGATGGAGGATCCCTCCAGTGCCCCACTCCCCATACCCCTGAGATTCCCCAGTAAGAAAATGAGATCAAAGGACTCCTCACCACATCCTCTGGTGAGCACCAAATGCAGGCTCCTGAGAAAAGGGCACATGTCTCTGTGTGTGTGTGTGTGTGTGTGAGAGAGAGAGAGAGAGAGAGAGATTTCAGGAGAAGAATTCCATTAGTTATGGGTTGAGGCACTCTGTAGAAGTAAGTGGCTGGGCCTGGCATTGGATCTGGGGGAGAAATGACACAGGATGATGAGGCCAGGCTGAGGAAGGTCTGAGTTCAAGGTTCTCCAGGAGAGGCAAAGTGAGAGGGCTGTCTCCCCGCTCTGTCTTTCCTGCCCGCCCTCTTCCTGGACCTCTCTCATCTGCTCCAGACTGAGACAGCAGGCTGAACTGTTGGTCACCCATCCACCCAGGTGCCCAGGGCTTGCAGCCAGCCCACGCCATCTGTGCCAGCCAGAAGCCCACTCCAAAACAAACCATCTTCACACGGATAGAAGGAGGGGTAGAGGACATGAACATGGGACACTTACCAATGAGATTGGGAAGAGCCTCAAGGCTGCAGGGACCCCAAACTTTGTCATCAGCAACAGACCAGAAGGGTTCTGGGAACAAGAATGACACCAGCTTTCCTTTGGGGGGGCTGCCATTCACCCACCCAGAGGCTCTGGGGACTGGCCTGGCCACACACTGGGGTGGCATAAGTCTGGAGGACCCCAGAGCTGTGTCTATGGGCCTGACAGACATGGGCCTGCCTGGAGGGGAGGCTTGGGGGAGTCTTGGGGTCTCTGGTCCTAGCCCTGGCTGGCTAAGAATGTCAGCCTAGCAGCTACCTGATGAAAACCATCAGGAACGTTCTCATTCTCAGCCTGTGTCCACATTGAGCATATCTGCTGGCGCAAGAGGATGAAGCAGTTTCCCTGGGACCTTGGCCTCCTCTTTCTGTCCCTTCTGAAACCTATGCTGGAACAGGGGCAGGGCGGGGGGCAAGGCAGGGGCAACTGGAGAGCCAGCCCTTGAGAGGGGCTTGAGAGAGCCCCTAGCTCTCTGCTCCTGGGACACCCAGGCAAGGCAGCGAACCTCCTGCTTTAGGGCCCCACCCCCAGGGCCTGCGAGGGCCTGCCGGTCCGCTTGGAGGCCCGAGGCGCTCTTGGGGGTGCGGGAGGAAGCCAGGGTGCATGGGCGGGGCTGTCCCCACAAGTGCGCTTCCAGGCCCTCCCCCGAGGGAGCCAAGCGGGGAGGGGGTGGGCTCCGATGGGGTGAGCCGGGCCTTCGCGGGAGTTGGGGTGCCCTGCGCTCTCGCCTTTCGTTCTGGGGTGGGGGCGGGTCTCTGGGGGTTCCGCGCAGGCGCCTGGCGCCCCCCCCACCAAGGCTGATGGGACAGGGGCGCGCGCACGCGGCTCAGGCGAGGCGGGGTCGCACGGTTGCACGTGCGTTGGGGCGCCACAGCGCCCCGCCCCCAACCCTGGGGCGGCGGCAGAGGAAGTGGCGGGCGGGACGGCCCCCTCCACGGGGAGACACTTGGGTCTAGACAACTTGGCAAGTCCGGCGGGGCTGAGTCACATGCGTCTGGAGCTGGAGACGTGGGCGCCAGGACTGGAACGTGAACGTGCCCACTCTGGAGGGCCGGGGAGGTGGGGGCTGGGGGGGAGGCTCGACCTCACGTTCCCGCTTGTTCGCCCCCAGGCCCACGCTAGCCTTTGCCCCACGTGTGGGGCCCCTCGATGCCCACCTGGAGGGGCAGGGGCAGCTTCCATGGGGAGTCAAGCCGGGCCCACATTATTTGCAAGAACCATCTGGAATTTCAGACGGGAAGGAGGCTGGGAGAGTGGCCCCACCTGCCCCTAACCTTGCTCCCTCGACTCAGCCACATCGACCACCTGGGACCTTTTTGTCCCCAAGCCACGCTTGCTGCTTTCCACCCCGCTCCAGCACACCTTCCACTGGCACCTTCCCCAGGGATGCCTACAGCCCAGAGGATGTCCACGGTCCTCTCCCCTGACTGCCAGTGCTTCTTCCTTACCCCTCACTGCATCCCCAGCCATCATCCGGATTCTGTGTTCCCTTTTCCTCCCTTCTGTCTTTCCTTTAGTCTGTCTGTCTATGTGCCTCTCTTCTCTCTCTCGCTGTCCCTCCGTGACTTGCTTGCTCAGGAACACCAGTTCTCAAGGAAGGAAGCACGACGCAGGAATCTGGACCTCTGATGTATTTAGTTCTCACAAACGCATCTGCAAGAAAAGTTGTTTAATTGGGACCAGATCCTCTGGGGTTTTCATGGCATTAAAACAAGATGGGTTTTCTCTAGGGAATAAACGGCTGGCAACAGGAAGAGGGTATGGAAAGTTTGCCTTTTTTCTTCTCAAAGTTTGAAGAGGGAAAAGGCCACTGTACCTTTGTTTATATATGATAGATGCCCACACACGCACGTGCACACACATGCACAGACAAGCTTTGATGTTACTGGGACACATTGTGGAAGGCGCAAGATCAGGCCTGTCTGCTTGCTCTGGGTGTCACTCCAGGAGTGTGTCTTTGGCTGCAGAGCCACTATTCTTCCCTGAGTCCTGGCAGAAGGCCTGGTGCATAGTAGGGGCTCAATGAACTTGTCTAATGACAGGCAGTGGGAGGGCAGGACTTGTAGCCCAGACCTTGGCCCTGAGCTCCAGATGCATACACAGAACTGCCTTACAGATTTGACAACTTGGCTGTCTGATCACCCACTTTACACTTGACACGTCAGGAGCTGGCCTCCCAAGTTTCTGCCCCAGGCTCACTCGGCCTTCACTGTTCTGGCTCCACCAACTTTTCCCATTAGCCCCCTCAAACCTGGGCTAGACTCAAAGACCTCTCCAGTGGAGGGTGCAGCTGCCTCCACACTGGCTCCCTCCTTCTGCCCTTGTGCCCTCAACAAGTCTGTGCTCCACCCTGCTGTCCAAAAGATCCTTTTACAATATGAGTCAGATCACAACCTATGAACTGGGAGAAAATATTTGCAAATGATGTACCCAAGGGTTTACTTTCCTAAATATACAGAAGCTCATATAATTCAATAACAAAAATATAAACAGCACAATCAAAAACTTGGCAGAAGCCTTAAATCGAGAAATCTCCAAAGAAGACATACAGATGGGCAATAGGCACATGGAAAGATGCTCCAAGTTGCTAATTATTAGACAAATGCAAATCCAAACTACAATGAGGTACCAACTCACACCAGTCAGAATGGCCATCATTAAGACATCTATAAATAATAAATGCTGGAGAGAGTGTGGAGAAAAGGGACCCCCCCACCATTGTTGGTGGGAAAGTAAATTGGTACAACCAGAAGGGAAAACAGTATGGAAGTTCCTCAAAAAAACTAAAAACAGAGTTGCCATATGATCCAGCAATCCCACTCCTGGGCATATACCCAGATAAAACTCTAATTCAACCCCTATATTCGTAGCAGCACTGTTCACAATAGCCAAGATATGGAAACAACCTAAATGTCCATTGACAGATGAATGAATAAAAGAGATGCAGTATATATATATATTCTGTATGTATGTATATATGTATGTATATATGTGTGTGTATATGTATATATTGTAAATACATACATATGTGTGTATATGCATATATGTGTGTATATATGTGTATATATGCATATATACATATATGTACTATATAGTATATACATACGTACATGTATATATACATGTATATGTATATATGTTTGTATATACATACATGTGTATGTATATGTATGTATAATTTTCATTCTTTTTAATGGCTGAGTTATATATACATACATATATATATATATATATATAAAACTCAGTCATTAAAAAGAATGAAATTCTTTGCAGCAACATGGATTTGCAAACACGCATGGCCCTAAAGATTTTCATACTAAGTGAAATAAGTCAGAAAGAGAAAAACAAATACCATATGATATCACATATATGCAGAATCTAAAATATGAAACAAATGAACCTATCTCTGAAATATAAACAGACTCACAGACATAGAGAACAGACTTGTGGTTGCCCAAGGGGGAGGAGGGAGGGAGAGGGAACGATTGGGAGTTTGGGATTAGTAGCTGCAAACTATTATATATAGGATGGATAAACAACAAGATCGTACAGTATAGCTACTGCTGCTACTAAGTCGCTCAGTCATGTCCAACTCTGTGTGACCTCATAGATGGCAGCCCACCAGGCTCCTCTGTCCCTGGGATTTTCCAGGCAAGAATACTGGAGTGGGTTGCCATTTCCTTCTCTGTACTATATAGCACAGGGAACTATATTCGATTTCCTGTGATAGACCATAATGGAAAAGAATATGAAAAAGAAAAACTATATATATGTGTGTGTGTGTGTGTGTGTGTGTGTGTGTGTATGTGTATGTATAACTGTTCATTTTGCTGTATAGCAGACATTAACACAACATTGTAGTTCAACTATCCTTCAATAACATTTTTTTTTAAGTCAGATCACATGTAACTCCTCTGATCAGAAATCCACAGCAGTTCCCTGCTTCCTTCAAGGTGAAAGGCAAAGTCCACTGGCCACATTTTGATGCGTTATCAAGCTAGCTAGCCCTGCAACCCTTCCCCAGCCTCACCCCTCACTCAGCCTGCTCCACCACACTGGTCTCCTTGCTGGTTCTCAAAGTGGGCCAAAGCCTTTTCTGCCTCAGGTCCTTCGCACTGCTGTCCATCCTCCTCGGGGGGTTTCTTACTGGAGCCCTTTTTGCATGGATATCTCCTTTTTACTCACATCTCAGCCCAAACATCGGTTTCTCACAGTCCTCATCCTGTCAAAAGTGTTTCTTCCTACAATCACCGTGGCCAGCCCCTTTCCTTCTGATGGGGTCCTCACGCACCCCACTAGACAGCACACTTTGTGAGCACAGGAAAGCTGGCCATGTGGTTCACCACTGTACCACACACTGTGCCAGGCATGGTGTCTGGCCCACCACAGGGGCTCAGGAATGTTCTGTGAGCAAAGATCTATTCTTCAATCCTCCCTTGACAGGACAGGAGCTTTCCTCTATGCAGTTCTAAAGAGGCTTGAAGGACGAAGGGCATTGCTTTGTCATCCTCTAGGCTGCCAATCTGAGTGAGTCCTGACTCATGAGGGTATGGGTGTTCTTGGGGGATAATTGCATGTAGACAGTGGACCACGTGGAAGGGAAGAACCGGAGGAGAAGGAGCAAGACTCCCTTCCTAGCCCTCAGAACCTTGAGATTGTGCAGCCAGAAGCAATTTTGATCATTTCATCCAGTTTCTATAGGGCCCTGCCAGTTCTCAGACTCTAGAACTTTCTAAAGAGACTATATCCACCACAATGAAATAGGGAGACCAAGGCCCTGAGCAGGGAGGCTTCCTCCTGACATCACATGGCTGAGCCATCTGGGCAGAGCTGGGAGCCCAAAACCTTTCCAGTTCTCAGATTCTAGAACTTTCTAGAGACCATATCTGTCACAATGAAATGGGGAGACTGAGGCCCTGAACAGGGAGGCTTCCTCCTGACATCACATGGCTGAGCCGTCCGGGCAGAGCTGGGAGCCCAAAACCCTTCCAGCAACCCTCAGGCTACATCTCTGGTTCCTGGAAAATCCAGACACCAGGCTCAGGGTTAGTGTTGGCCTGGGGCCCTGCCTGTCTCAGCCCAGTCCACGAGCAAGCTCTGTGTTCAGGCTGTGCTCTGTGAGGGTGGCTATAACGTCCCCATGACGGCCAGACGCCTCCATACTGGACAGAGTAGGTAGCCAGGTGGCCAATGAGCCCCCGGTGGGAGAAGGGCAGTGAGGACAGGACTCCATGGGACCTGGGGGGCTGAGAGTGCTCCAGGCCTCGCCCCTTCCTGCCTAGGTGGGTAGGAGCTTAGGCCTCCCTCCTCCAGGCCACTGTGCCAGAGAAACCTGGGAGCAGGCTTCCCCCACCTCCAGCCCAGCTAATGGGAACCAGATGGCAGGATGTTTAGTCAGCGCCTGGGGAGCGGCGCAAACAGGGGAAATGGGTTGGGGGCCAGGATTCCAGAATCCATCCCCAGGCAGGGGGAGGGTCAGAGCCGGGTCTCCCACCAGTCCGTCCATCTCCAGGGGCCCATCTCAGGCTGGGTCCTACCACGTCCTCAAGCAATGCCCAGATCGGGAGGCAGGAGACCTGGTCTCAGGCATCAGACTTGGGCCAACCCTACCCCCTCTCGGTTCCTTCTCTGTACTGAGCAGGGAGGGATTGGGCTCAATGGTCTAGGATCCCTGGGCAAACCCTGGCTTCCTGTGCCTACGTTCTCCCCCTCCCCCAGCTTTAGCAAAACGTTAGCCCAGGATATCCTGTGTCACCTATAAGCACACAAGCAGATGGTGGCTTCATCCTTGGTTCCCAGGAAGCTTGATCACAATCCCTAGACTGTCTCTGTCTCATGGTCCCAAATTCACTTCTTAACCCAGAGCCCCGGATAGGACGGGGGACCCTGTGTGGCTCACGTGGGACTGTTAGGTGGCCCAAGGGCTCTGGGAAGGCAATGACTGCTGTGTCCTCACCACATCTGGCACTCGGGACTCAGACTGCTCCCCAGGCACGAAGGAAGACTCGCTTGTGGGGGGATATCTGTGCCCCCTGCCCCATCCTAGGTCTCACACATTCCTCCCTGATCCCGGACAGATACCTTGAGCCCCAGATGGCTACGGGACACTCCTCCACAAGCCTCCTGGCCCTGTTCCTCACCCCCTCCCCCTTTCCCCTCCACCCAAGCCTTGCCCACAATTAACTCATTTTTTAAGATCGCTTCCAAACATAAGTCAATGCTGGACAGAGTTGTAGGAAAAGCTTCCTCAAGGCTGGCCCCGAAGAGCCATGTGGTGATATCTGGCCACTTTGCCAGCCCCCGCCTGCTGCCACAGCTGGGCCTGGAGCTGGGGCCCTCTGAGGGCGGGCCAGGGAGCCTTTGGTCAAGACACCCCTTCTTTGCCCCTGCTCTCAGACCCCATCCCGACCCAGAGGGACCCATCTGCCTGATGTCAGCAGTCCCAGTGGGACCTGGAAACTGTTAGCCAAGAAGTCTGTGAGGACCTGTGAGATGGCCTCACCCAGGCAGCTGCCAGGTCACCCCAGGCCAAGGATTCCTGAAGAACCTGGCTGCCCTGGTCCACACACACTCCCATGTAGGGGTTGAGGGCATGGGGGGGGTGGCCTGCAGGGTGTTTGTATACCTGCTCTCCATTTTACAGAGGAGGAGGTGGAGGCCTGGAGGAAAGGGAGCTTCCCAGATGTGGGGGGCACCGGGACCCCATCCCAGCTCTGCCCACGTGTTCTGTCTTCCCTGGAATTGGGAGGCCTCGGCATCGGCAACTGCGACAGAGGGGCCGGAGCCACCATGGTTCAGTGGCCCAGGAACCTGCCCTGGCTCCCAAGGACCTTGGAAGCCCTGGGGTGTGTTGCTGGCTCTCAAGGCCCAGACCCTCTCTTTTCCCAGCCACTGAGGTAGGACCTGGCAGCCCGAGGTGGGCAGCCCCATCTGTGGTGGGCCTCACAGGTCCCCCTGTGTGCAGAGACAGAAGCCCTATTCACGGGGGCCACTGGGTCAGGGCCAGTGGAGAATGAAGGCAGGCTTCTGAGAAAAGGAGCGAGAGCACTCAGGTCCAAGAAAAAAAAATAAATCTCTCTTTCTCCTCAGATGAGAGCAGCAGACTTTGCGGGAAGCCGGGGGCCAGGCCTGGGGAGGCGTTTATTGGGGGGCAGCCTTCCTGGAGGGAGGCCGGGCCAGGTAGGGGAGGCTCAAAGCACTGTAGCTCTGGGAGCCGGACCGTCGCCTGCCGCTCCACTGGTGTTCCATCCTTTCCAGCCTTTCATCTCTTTCACCAGCCCCGGTGGCCATGAAGAGGGTGCTGCTCCCTGTCCTGGCTCTCTGGGTGGGGTGCTGCCCTGGAGGGGCCTTGGCCAAGCAAGTCCTGGGCCCAAGAGCCCAGGCCCAGCCAACCCCCACAGGGCTGCCCACCCTGCAGCCACCACCACCCAGCGCATCTGGGCCCCCGGACGGTGAGTAAGTGGCACTAGCAGGGTGGCTGGCAGGATGGCACTCTCCCCCACTACTGGGACCTGCCACCTCCAGGGCTGGCACAGAAGGAGAGCAAGCAGATTCACCCTGAGGCTACCCACCTCATGACCCACCATGAGTGTTCCATTCAGGGCCATGAGGGACCCATGAGCCTCAGGGAACTTGTTCTTGGAGGGCAAGGGGGCATGATGGACTCTGAGAGGCCCTTGTGCTGATTGCCCATGGTGGGGACAGGGGAGAGAAGACACCCCCTCACTAAGAGAGGCTGCTGCAGCTGGATCTGGAAGAGTGGACCCAGGTTTGCTGGTTGGAGAGTACAGTTGGCTGCCCTAATGCCTACCAAGGGGACTGAGAGAAGCGCAGGAGGCAGAAAGTGGAGGCCCCACCCAGGCTCAGGGGTGGAATGGGAGGGGCCCGTGAGGGGACCCAGTCCCTTAACCCACTGCAGACAGCAGGACTTGCAGGACAGGCCCATGGTCAGTGCTGGTTGAGGAGGGGCTACCATGCAGTGAGGGGCTTCCCCAAGTGACTCAGCAGTAAAGAATCCACCTACAATGCAGGAGACCTGGGTTCGATCCTTGGGTGGGGAAGATCCCCCTGGAGAAGGGCATGGCAACCCACTCCAGTATTCTTGCCTGGAGAACTCTATGGATAGAGGAGCCTGGTGGGCTAGAGTGCATGGGGTCACACAGAGTTGGACACGACTGAGTGACTCAGCATGCACCATGCAGTGGAGGGGAGGCCTGGGGTGGGAGACTATTATCCCCATTTTTCAATGGCTGACAGCCCCTCAGAGTGGCCTGTAGGCTCTCCTCACCCTCAACACCTCCTGTCCCAGTAGGCACTGGGGCCTCCACCTCCAGGAGCAAACTGTGCCATGTGGCAGCAACCCTTCATTTTCCCAGAGGGGGTCCCTGCCTTTCCCTGCCCAGGAAGAAGCCACAGGGAACTGGAGACTTAGGAGCAGGCCCAGCCTCTCTGAATAGGGCAACTGAAGGTCTCCTGGGCCCACAGTCATGAGCCAAGGACCTGCTTGTGCCTCGTCCCTGAAGGATCCCTGGGAGTTTTGAGAAGCAGGAAGGGTGACACAGCCTGCTTATCACATTGAGAACCTCTCTCCTATTCAGGATCCTCCACTCTGGCACCGTGAAAATGTGAGTTGGAGATCAGAGAATCTCTGACACTTGGTGGCTTTGGGTTAGTGACAGAAGGCCAAGAGCTCCTAAGGAGAGAAGAAAAAGGCAGAAGTGAGGCCTGGGCAAATATAGGAGAGAGGCAGGCAGGCCAATGGCTGATCTCCCTCCTCGGGAAGGAGGTGCTGCCTCCCAGGCACGCAGGGGTCCCAGCCACCCCACCCCACACTGGCTCCTTCTGCAGGTCAAGTGCGACCCATGCTCAGGAATGGGAGCCCAGACATGCCTGACGACGGGCAGCTGGGCAGGCCATGGCTACGGCCTGCCTCCAAAGAGGGGGCCCCCAGAGCCCCCACCCGGACCACAGCCCCTCACTGGAAGGTCCTCGCCAGACCCGGGCTGACCCAGAGGAAGTCGACACAGCCGGCAGCCTCGGAGCACAAACAGGGCCACAACCATGGGGCCGGCACCATACAGGTCCATCCCCAGGCCACAGGTACAACAAGGCCTGGGGCAGCAAGCACCCCCCGAGCCCAAGAGGGTGCCATGGCTGCCAAGAAGGGCCAGGGTAGGGAGGTCAGAGGCCGGGAAGCCAAGAAAAAGGGCCCAAAGCCCAAGAGGTACCCCAAAGGTGAGGACTGGCTTCGGACACATAGCCCAATTACACTGACACTCCCACCCACTGAGACCCCCACCCACTCTCAGAGTGCCCAAGCTGAGTGCTCCCATCTGCAAGGCAGGAGGGCAACCCTCCCAAGGCAGATCTTCTATCCCAGCCTCAGGGCCCCAAATTGGGTCTTTGCCCTTGGTGCCGAGAGCAGGAGGCCCAATGGCCTGTTTTTCTGGTACAGCTGGCTGAGTCACCAGCAGGTCTGGGGAGCCCCGGGAAAGACCCTGTTCCTCAGCAGGCCCCTGTTGCTATGTGAGCAGGCTAGAGCCTCATCTCTCATCCTCCAGGGGCCCCCCAGCACCCCAGGCCAGCAGACTGGCATGAGAAGAAGGATCATAGCCAAGGCGAAGGGGGCAGCAACACCTCGGGGACCACAGGTCATGGGCGAAAAAGAGCTGGAAGCAGGCGAGGGCAGAACCCTGGGCCTATAGGCCCAGGCACTCCAGAGTGGGTCATGCCTTCCCTGCCAGCCTCCTGCCTCCTGGCCCAGGCGGCCATCGCTTGCGGCAACGTCAAGATGAAACGTGTCCCTGTCCTATCCGACCCCGGCCTGACCACACTTTACCTGGCAGGTGGGTGGCCCCACTTTCCCACACCCACTCCCATGGCAGGGGTAGAAGGACATACACCTGGGTGTCTGCTGCAGTTGGTCTTTGGTCCCCGTGGCTGCCTCCCTGCCACGCCTGGGGACGACTCACTGCCCCTCTGACCTGAGAGTTTCTGACCAGGTCAATCAGAAGACCCAGCTCCTTCAAGGAGTCTGTCACTGCGGCCTCTGGGCTGTGTGGAGGAGGTACAGAATGGCAGAGGGGAGGGGGATGGAGGGGCCGGGAAAATGGCTGCCCTGTGTGTGCGCAGAGAATGAAATTGCCAAGATCCCAGCCCACACGTTCCTGGGACTACCCAATCTGGAGTGGCTCGACTTGAGCAAGAATAAGCTGGATGCCCTTGGCCTGCACCCCCACGCCTTCAAGGTACACAGCAGCCCCTCATCCTGGTCTCCTGGGGGATCAGTGCCAGGGGCATTAGTGATGTAGGGTGACATGGTCCATAGCTGGGAGCATGGAGGCCAACACAGATCCTGAGGTCCCCCAAGGGACCAGCACTCTTGGGAGAACCTGAGGAGAGTTCTAGAAACCGCCAGGCAAGCCTGGTCCAAGAGGGAACCAGGAAGCCATGATGCAACCCAACCAGGGTGTCTGTGGGCAGGGCGAGCCCAAGGCCACACTGGGAAGGCCCAGCCCCAGCCAGCAGCACCCCAGTCTCCATCTTGGTCTTCTCCAACCTCCTAGAATCTGACGCGGCTGAAGCGGCTGAACCTGGATGGGAACTTGCTGTCCATGGTGCCAACCTTGCCCGCCTCCTTGCAGGAGCTCAAACTCAATGACAACCTTCTTCAGGGCCTGGAGCACAGCAGCTTCCGGGGTGCGAACAGGCCCCAGGGGGAGGGGGTGAGAGGAGGCTCCACCCAAGGCAGCCTCCTGGGGGGCAGACGGGGAGCACCAACCTAGAAAAGTGGCCCTGGCCTCGAGGGCCAGGGGTGGGGGGTCTCTGGAGCTAAGGTGGGCAGCTCCCAGCCAGCCTTCTGAGCTCACCTGCCCCCTCGACCTGCCACCACAGGTCTCAGCCAGCTGCTGACGCTGGAGGTAGAAGGGAACCGGCTACATGACGGAAACATCTCCCCTGTGGCCTTCCAGCCCTTGCGCAGCCTGCTGTACCTGAGGCTGGACCGGAACCAGCTTCGAACCATCCCACCCGGCCTGCCAGCCTCCCTGCAGGTGACTATGAGACCCGAGGCCACGAGAGGCAAAGTGAAGTGAAGTCACTCAGTTGTCTGACTCTTTGCGACCCCAGGGACTGTAGCCCACCAGGCTCCTCCATCCATGGAATTTTCTAGGCAAAGAGTACTGGAGTGGGTTGCCATTTCCTTCTCCAGGGGATCTTCCTGACCCACGGATCAAACCCAGGTCTCCTACATTGCAGGAAGACGCTTTACTGTCTGAGCCACCAGTGAATCCCTGGAAGTGAGAGTCACTCAGTCATGTCCGACTCTTTGTGACCCCATGGACTATACAGTCCGTGGAATTCTCCAGGCCAGAATACTGGAGCGGGTAGCCTTTTCTTCTCCAGGGGATCTTCTCAACCCAGGTATTGAACCCAGGTCTCCAACATTGCAGGTTGATTCTTTACCAACTGAGTCACAAGGGTAAAGCTGTGGCCAAAAGACTGGAGTGTCTGCCCACAACAGCTGGGCCAGCTGCCTGTGGGGACAATTTTGATGCTAAACCCACAAGGCCTCAGCACCAAAGGGCCTTTCCTCGGCCCGACAAAACCTTCCTGGAGCCCAAAATTGAACCTCAAGGACCATTGTGGACCTGCCAGGTATCCCTGAACAAGGCTCATACCCTCTCTGGGCCGCACGATCTCTGGTGCTTGCAATGCTCTCTGAGCCTGTGTCTTGCAGGACTCTGAAGAGTCATGGTACAGCTTGCAGGTGTCAACTGGGATCTTTTGCACAGTTGGCCACAGCCCTGAGAGGGGCAGAGACAGTGGGACCTAGTGGAAGGGGGCAAGGAGCTGGGCTAGGCCACCGCTGACTGGTGGGTCGAATGCTTACCTTGAACCCTGGCCCTAGGAGCTGCACTTGGGCACAAACGTCATCGAGGAGGTGAGAGAGGGCACACTGAACCACAGCCGCAGCCTCAGTGTGCTGGTTCTCAGCAACAACCGGCTCCAGGAGGACCGACTGGCACCCCGTGCTTGGATCGATCTTCCGTGAGTACTGTGGTCCCCCTGGCACCGCCCAAGCTCTGCCCCCATGGGCACAGAGATAGAGGACGCTCACAAAGGAAGCAGAGAGTTAGGAGGGAAGGCAGAGAGACTTCACGGGGTCTGGTGGGTCACCTGGGTCACCTGCATCCCTGCCCAGGGTTCAGGGTGGCCTGGGCCCTCAGTCACCACCTGCTTCTCCAGATTTCTCTCTGGCCCTCCCACCCGACAGAACTCCCAAGGGCACAAAATCCCTCCTCTGCCTGTGCCCAGAGGGAGGGCAGTCTAGGTGCTGCAAGCTGTCCCCATGCTGGGTTTAGCTAGAAAGCAACGAGGGCAGGAAGGGGCATGGAAGAGATGGCAGCCACAGGAAAAAGGCCTGTGACCTTCCTGGGGCAGCCATAACAAAGTACCACAAAGAGGGCAGCTTAAAACAACAGAGCTCTGTTCTCACAGTTGTGGAGGTCAGAGATCCAAAATCAAGGTGTCGCAGGGCAATGTTCCCTCCAGGGTAGGATCCCTTCTGCCTCTTCCAGTTTCTCGGGGCTCCAGGTGCCACTTGGCTTGTGGCCGCATCACTGCAGTCTCTGCATTTTTCACCTGGCTTCCCCTCTGTGACTGTGTCTCTCCTCTTCTGTCTTATAAGACCACCTCCCATTGCATTTCCTGCCCATCCTAAAGCAGGATGATGTCATCCCAAGATCCTTCACTCACTCACATCTACAAAGACCTTTCTGCCAAATCAGGTCACATACACAGGTTCTGGGCAGCCATATCTTTGGGGGGCACTAGTCACCCCACTATAGGAAGAAGGGTCCAGGATGAGTCCCCATGATCTCATTTGGATGGCTGAGTCAGGTCACCGGCAGGAGGGGCTGGGAAGCAGACAAGGCCCTTACAGGCACTGCCTAAGGAGTCAGGATGTGACCCCAGGACTGGCCAAAGGGCTGGGAAGGGACAATCCTTGGGGTTTGAAGACAACTGAGGCAGAGCAGGGGTGGGGTGAAGGAGGGGTTGAGAGTCCAGACCGCCATTCCAGGGACCAGAGCCTCCCGCCCTGCACCCTCATGTTCCAGGAAAAAGTTACCAGGACGTTTGGGTTTAATTATTCCTTTTTCCTCTCCCTCTCTTGCCAAGGGGGCAAAGGAAAGCAGACAGCAGCCTAGGGAGGGGCCGCCCAGCCATGTTCCACTCCTGCCGCGGGGCCTGGGCAGGGGGCTGGCGGCCAGTCAAGCCTAGGCCGGCGCCGGCCAGTTTTTCTCCGGCTGGTAGATGGAGAGGGGGCTGCTGGCTCAGCAGGCCTGGGAGGCACCAGAGACCCACCTGCTTTGGACGGAGGATGGCATCCACCCCAAGGCCAAAGAGCTGACCCCAACCACAGGGGCTGGCGGAGGGGGGATATCAGTGAGAGAAACCACTTGCCTTGCCCCAATCTGTTCTAGAAGCATCATCACCCTGTGCTCCTGGTTTCCCTCCCCATCAGTCTTCAGCTTGCCTTCAGCCTAGGTAGGGCCAAGAGGCCAAGAAAGTGCAGCATGGGGACCACCAGGAAGATAGCTCGTGGCCCAGACCACTGGCCCCTCTGCTCGGGCATAGGAGGGAGGGAGAGGAAAGGGAGCAGGTCTTCCATCTCCGCCCCGAGGGCCAGCCTCGCTAGGTGTGCGGTGAGCAAGGGAGGACCCCGCAGACCCTTTCCCAGCCTCCGTGGACAGAGGGCACACAAGCCAGACAAGGCCTGGCCCTCCCCAGCCGTTGGAAGCCTTGGTGGCGGCTGCCATCTTGAAGCAAATCCCCACCCTCCTCTGGGGCATGGACCGGGGGCCCCGACTATAACTCCCCTACTGCACCCCTAGGAAGCTGGAGGCCCTCGACCTGTCCTACAACCAGCTGGTGCACGTGCCCTCCTTCCTGCCCCGGGGCCTCCGCCACCTGATGCTGCACCACAACCGCATCGAGCGCATCCCCGGCTACGTGTTCGCGCACATGAAGCCCGGGCTGGAGACCCTGCACCTGGCCCACAACAGCCTGAGCGAGGATGGCATCCACAGCGTGTCCTTCCTGGGCCTGCAGGCCTCCCTGGCCGAGCTGCTCCTGGACCACAACCAGCTGCAGGCCATCCCAAGGGGTCTCCTGGGCCTCCGGGCACTGCAGGTGCTACGTCTGAGCTACAACAAGATCAGGTAGGGCCACATCCTGCTGTTCCCTCACCCCACCCCACCCCGGCCTGTCCCCACCTCCAGTCTGGGAGGGAGGCAGCTCTGCTGAGACCTGGAGACCCCACCTGGCAGGCTGGCCAGATGTTCTGGCCTGTGGGCTCAATCACCCAGGGGCCCCAGAGGCCAGCGGCAGCACTGTGGGGGCATCCTTCCCTGCCTCCATGGGCCCATCTTGATCGCTGTGACTGGAGGCCATGCCCAGTGGCTGGCAGAAGAATCTGGGCCGGGGGAGGGCGGGAGAGGTTGGGAACCCTGAGTGGCCAGGTGACCCTCCACCCTGGACCTGGTGTCTGTGCCTCAGTGTCCCCACCATCCACTGTGGGGCCACGCTTTCTCTCCTCTTGCCTGATGCCTGACTCTCCTTTCTGGGGTCTCGGCTCCTCCTACAACCCCTCCTCCACAGACACGTGCCCCTGAATTCCATCTGTGACACACGTGTGACCCAGGACTCCAACCTCATCTCCACGCACCTGGAGAACAACCTTATTGACCGGCGCCGCATCCCACCCACTGCCTTCTCCTGCATCCGGGCCTACCATAGCGTGGTCCTCGAGCCCCAGCAAAGGGAGGGGGAGTCTGCCTAGCCCCACTGCCAGCCTTCTCCAGCCTCTTCTCTGGGGGGGACTGGAAGTGGGAGGAGCCTAGGCCCAGCTCTGACGGATTGATGCGCCACTGGGAGAAAGTTCTAGAAGACCCTGCTGCTTCAGATGTGCTCATGTCCCATTGACTGCCAAGGCCCCTTCACTCAGTAGACCAGCCTGGTACGGTGCCCGTTTGGACTTAAACATAATAAATGTATCTCATTCAAGCCCATTCACCTCCACCGGCCTCCCTCCTTCCCTCCTGGATCTCGGCATCCTGTACATGCTGGCACTCCAGGGTACATGGAGCCCTCAGAGCCCACATCCTGGACATGACTTCATCAGCAGGAGGTTAAGAGGGCCTGATTCTAGAATCTTCTCCAAGAGTCCCCCAACCCCCACCCACCCTGGCCAGGGTCCTGACGTCCCCTTGCAGCTTGGCCCAAAGCCATCTAGAGGCCCAGCTCACCTCCACTGTTCAGGGAAGCATCACTACCCTCTTTTCCAGGAAGCATCCCTGTCCTGGGAGTGGATACACACAAGAGGTGCTGACTGTCCGCCTGGTTGGGGAGGCAGCAGCTAGCTATGAGCGCTCAGCCCCACCCGGCCCTTCAACTGTGCTGAGAGCCAGTTGGAGGTCATTGGAACAGTTCACAGCCCCTGCCCCGGGGCGTGGGGAGCTCATGGCAATATGGCGGCCAGAGAGAGAGCACATGACAGGCACTGAGGATGCAGCACAGCTGCTGAAGGAAGAAGTGCCCACTGTCAAGACCTTGCCCTGCCAGCGCCTTGGCCTGGGGTCTGGGCCTGGGAGCTGGGAGTCCTGCGTCAGTCCCATTCTGTAGTCAGCCCCCGCATGCCTCAGCCCTGAGTTCTAAGCAGAGAAAAGGCCAGACTCTGGCAGGGGGCGGGGAGAGGCCTGGGAAGCTGGCGGAGTGTTTGCTTTGGACTCATCCTTGCATTCCTTCTCCTCTTGGGCCTGGGCCCACAGATATGGCACTTCCTGTTTGGACTGGGTCAGAGGTCAGTAGCCCTTGAGGCGCTGGCCCTGTGGGGAGGCCCCCTGTTGTTTTCCCAGCTCTCACAACCCCTCCTCTCTAGTCTGGCTGCCTGCCCCCACCCCCAGCCCCTCCAGCTCGATCAGTCAGCCCCGAGTCCCCTCCCCAAACTCAGAGTTCTGGCCCCCCGACAGGCACAGGAAGTTCATGCTGGGCAACCCCCACCCCCAACTGCTCTTACCTCCCTACTGAGCAGACCCTCTGAACTAATTCCACTTAACACAGAGAACGCTTGGCCCTTGGGGCTTCTGTCAGGTGGACTGAACCCAGCAGGGGCTGGGCAATCCTTCCATGACCCTCCTCAGCCCCGAGTGGGTATCCACCATTGAGCTCCCCAGAAGCCAACTCAGAGGAAGGAGAGGTATGAGGAAGTCTCCTCGGAGGCTCTTGAGGGGAGGAGAGGATAAGAGTGGGCCCAGGGAGAAGCTGGCATGTGACCGACAATGCAAGACAAGCCAAGGCCCACAGGTGCCCTGGATCCAAGCTGGTCGGAAGCTGGAACAGGACACAGGACTTTTATATCCACTGTCATCATTAGGTAGGCCTTCCCAGCAAAGGAAGGGGTGACTGGGGCAAAGACCCTCTGTTCAGCTCAGGCAACTCCCTAAGAGGTCTAGGATGTCAGGGCCTTCAGTCCTATCAGAGTGGTGCCCGTGGCGGCACGACCCCGAGGAGGGTGAGAACCCCAGATAGACCCTGAGCCAGGGAAGCAAGCACAGTGCGGCCAAGAGCTGGTGGCAGGACCAAACCCACCCTGCACCCTCTGCTCACTGGTGCCTGCTGGCGGTGGTGCCCAGCATTGGGCATGGCCCAGTGAGTAACCCAGATACACTGGGCATCAGAGGGCTCCTCATGGTCATCACGGTGATGGTGGTGATGACAGGGTAGGGGTGACTACTTTCAGGTGGCGAAAAGCAAGGTGTTCATCAGTCCCTGGACCAAGGCGGCAGAGGTCCTCTGACGGTAGGAGTACGACTAAGGATGAGACCAGTGGGGACAGTGGGAATCAGGAGCGAGTCACAGAGGCTAATGGCCACTAGGAGCAGAGAAGGGGGACAGGGAGCTGGGGGGCACTCCTTCCAAGAACCTCGAGGGCCCTGCCCCACGCACAATCCCAGAGTCCTGCCCACCAACGTTCTTCCAGCCACCTCTTCCTCCTCCCCAGGGCTCCAACCCGAGGGCCCGCCACCCAGTCCTTCAAGGGGCTCCCCCCAGCAGGTTCCAAGCATTCCTCCTGCCTCATAAACCCACGTGGTGGTCTTGGGGAAAGACAGGCTGAGGAAGGGGCATTAGAGAGCGAGGAGGGCAAAGGATGTGGCAGGCATGCTGCCCCCCCCAGGCCTGTGCCTCCCCCGACCCTGACCTGTGAACAGTGGCACCATGGTGGGCACACAAGGCCATTCCAGTGAGGCTGGTTGCCTGGCCCCCAGCCCTGCACCTGCTCTCGGCTACAACCCCCACCGGAGCCTGCTGGCCCCAGGGCAGCAGGCAGATCCAGGGCCTGCTCCGGGGGGGCTGGTGTCCACCAAGGGAGGACCATACCCCCCCGCCCTGTTTTATGGCCTTCTGGGGTCTCCCTGGCTTTGTAGGCGGCCACAGATGCAGCCCTGTGGCACAGTCCCCTGTCCAGCTGCTTCCTCTAGCCACACCCAGAGCATGCCTCTCTAAAGATAGCTAGATGTGGGCCAGGCCCCCACGGAGCCCCCTTCGAGCCCTGAAATTATAGCCCTGGCGGCCTGGGACACAGAGCCACTGTGTGATTATGTCCTCAAGGGAAGGTCAAAAAAAGCTCTGGCATAGAGAGTGCCAGCTTTCACCGACCACGCCTCGGGCATCAGCGCTGGGAACCTTCCAGAAAGCAGAGGTTTGGCCCACTCTAAGGAGGGGGACTGGCCCCAGGCATCCAGAGGGTCCCCTGGGCACGTTACACCTGCTGGCCCTGGGGGCTCCGGAATGTCAAGGAACCAATGAGGTGGGAGGGACTGCTCCTAGTTACTGTGGGCCTGGCCCCTGCCCTGCCCTGCCCCTGCCCAGCCCATAGAGATTTGGGCAGTGAGGATGAGGGGAGTGGATAAAACCAGAAGGCTGAGAGTGACGGCAGGCAAGGCTGTGAACTTGGGGGTGTCACCTTGGGTGCAGGGGCTGCAGTGCCTAGGAGTCTTGAGGGCCCTCTCCAAGATCTTGGCTGAGTTCTAGGCAGGGTGGCATGTTCAGGAAGTGACCCTAATGTATGTGTGTGACAGGTCCCTGCCTGGCAATGGGGCTCCTGTGGGTGATGCCCCCTACTGGGCTAGCTGTGAAAGAACCCATGGGAGCACTCCAAGGAGGGGCTAGAAGGCAGCCCCAGGACACCGCTGGGAGCCGCCTCCTCCCAGAAGTCCTCCCTGTGCCCCTCCTCCCAGAAGTCCTCCCTGTGCCCCCTCCTCCCAGAAGTCCTCACTGTGCCCCATCCAGTGAGCTCCAGGTGGGTGAGGGGGACCAGTGGAAGTTGAGGCTGACTGACTCAGTGCCCAGGGAAGTGACAGAGATGCAGAAGAGAGACCTGAAAAAGGACTGGGGAGCCCAGAAGAACAGAGAAGGGGAGTGATTAGCAGAGGCAGAGAGAGGGGAGCACCAGCCAGACACAGCAGGGCAGGGAGGCCAGGAAGGCCCTGAAAAGGGGCTGGCAGAGGGCCCCTGAAGGTCAGGGCCAGGCTAATCTCTCCAGGCCCTAGAAGCACACAGGATGGGGACGAGCATCTGGGTGGGCTGGTGCTCAGGCTGGGGCAGGCGCTCTCTGAGCCTCTGGGAGCCCGGCCCACTGGGCCACCTCCCAGGCTACCAGGCTCTGCCCTTGAGGAACACGCAGCAAAGGCAGATTGAGCAGGCTGTGTTCTTGACTCCTGGAAGAAGGACCTTCTAACAAGTGGAGGCTGCTAAGGTATCCTGGCTGAGGGGCAGGGGGCTGCTGGCAGGATCACCCAGTCCTCTTTAGCCCCTTGGGGCTAGTGTCCAGACTGGGGTTTTGGGAGCCTGTACAGTGATGTCCCAGAGGTGCAGAGAATGCTGGGAAAGGGCGTTAGTCACCCCTGGGCTCCTGCTGGCAGAAGCCAGGCTCTGCCTCCCAGTCCACCCGCCCCCACCTCCAGTCCCTCAGCCAGCCCTGTCTGCACTGGTTCTTGTGGAGCTAAGACAGCTGTGCATCAGCCTCCTCCGAGGGCCCGGGGGCCTCAGGAAATGCCTGCTCTTCCTTCCTGCCTTGCCCCCATGCCTGCCCTCCCCTGCCTCCTGCTGCCTCCTCCCAGCCCCAGGAGGCCAGAGGCCAGGAGGCCGCAGCTCCGCTGGCCAGCGGGATGTGCTGTGCTCAGTGGCTGCTTCTACTGGGGTCCTGGTTGTTCCTCGGCTACAGAGGAGAGGGAGGGGGCGGGGGAGGCCCAGGACCAAGGTGCAGCCTGGCTGGTTTGGGAGTGGCTCCCAAATTAGAGGGCCAGGCCCAGTGACTCAATGGGCCTTGGGCCGGGTGTGCAGTTATGGCTTATTGCAGACTGCAAACCACAGACAGAAAAGCCTTCCAGGCACAAGAACCGTATTTACGGACATATTGTCCCAGACACACCTCCAGCTGCAGGGAAGAACTCCAAGGTGCAGGGTGTCACCTCACTGCTGTCCCAAGTTCCCTCCAGGAGCCTCCCTGGCCCACCACTAAGACTTCCCACCTAACTGCCTTTCTGCTCCCCTATGGTCTTCCTTCTGCCAACAATGTCCCTCTTCTCTACTTGTCTGCTCTAAGTCCTCTCCTCCAGGAAGCCTTCCTGAGTGCCTCTGGCGCTGTGTGTGGCCATGGCCTGACCCAGTCCCCTCCCCACAGAGCTCAGAGCCTGGCCACAGAGTCCCCAGAGCAGTGCAAGGCTCCACAGAGGGTGGCTAGGGGCACCAGGCCAGGTGGGACCTTACTCAGTAAACGAC